CACATCTGGAAGACGACTGTGTCACCTCCCATCACCCTCCTGAAGGTGCTTTTTCAGCTCAGGGGAAAGGGCAGGCAGACACAGCATCTGTAGACTAGCATCCTGAATTAAGGGAGGGGGAATTCCCCTTGCAGCCAAAGGGTTGTTTGAGGCCACCCCGAAAGAGCTGATCTTCAGCTTGAAACCAGGACTTGCTCTTTCACCAGGCTGCTCCTCCAGTTGCCAATGCAACCCATGGAACCTGTGTGAATATCAAGCGTGGGTTGTGTCCAGGAACCTGGGAGGATGTCTTTCCCGTGTGTGCATGTTTTCGTCTTTAAATAAACAGCCCATGCAAGTTTCCAGCTCTTCTGGCCATCGAGATTAGCCTGGCCGTCTCAGAGGAAATCTGGGGAGGCTAAGGTGGACTTTCCAGTGGCCCAAGGGTGGTTGTGTCTTCCTGCCCGCCATCTATTTCCTGCCCTCTTTCCCCCCTGCACCGTTTCAAAGCAACCACGGAGGAGGGAAGGAAGCGGAGCCATGGATCCTCCGCTCGCAACGGCAGCAGATTTGAAGCAGGAAAGTGGGAGAGGAGCTGCTGACACGAGTGTAAGGGGCTCCCCTCCCGCTTTGCTGCTTCCAAGGGAGCCTGGGAGGAGGAAATCCGCTGCATGGATCCCCTTCCCTCCCTCCTCCCGGCTCAGCTCTTGCTGGCTTCGCCCCATAAGACGCACAGACATTTCCCCTTCCTTTTTAGGGGAGGAAAAGTGCGTCCTCTGGAGCGAAAAATATGGTACCTGGTTCAAGCAACGGTTGATCTGAAGAAATTAAGTTTTCCACCCATTGCTTTGTCACCTTTAGATGGCCTAACAAGAAAAGGAAAAGGAGACAAACCTCACCAACATGGGGGAAGCCAGGAGGTGCCAATCGAATAAATAAGAACACTTTACTGTATTTTTACTGCACTGTACTGTGCTGGTTAGGGGGGTCGGTGGGATATATCAGGACTGGGGTGGTTTAAAAATGTTCTTAAGTGTTAGATGTCAATTTCTATTTCTATTTTTTCCCTTTTACCTTCATGCCTGCAGCTGACTTTTCCTCCAGCTCCTCTTCTCCCTTCATCAGGTGAAGCTTCCTCCTCCTCCTTTTCAGAGCAGGAATTCAGACCTAAGAAATATCAATAATGTCAATTATTTTCACAAGAAGAGGGGTCCCCGTCCAAGCAGACATCGAATATGTCCAGCCCAGATTGCAGTGGAAGAAAGAATCAAGTGGTAAAGGAGCCAGCAGACGAATAACGGGAAGAAATGTGTTTTCATTCTTTATTCTTTCTGAAGCCTTTTCCCCAGAATCATATATTTATTATTATTATTATTATTATTATTATTATGGTGCATTTAGCTGGAAGGGTCCTCAAGGCAGGAATCTGCGAAGGAACCACAAGGGTTCATTTCATAATAATAATAATAATAATAATAAGTGGAGGAATTGGGATCTGGAGGAATTAGCTGGTTACAAAACCAAGCAGTGCTTCATCTGAACAATACACTGTTCAGGTACAGTTTCCAATACAGTTTTAAAGGCAGCCTGACAGGGAAAGCAATGGAGATGTGAAGTTTTATTTTATATAAATAATAAATAATAATTAGAATTATTATTATCACAGCCAGTTCCCCTGGAGTTGCTTCTCCCCCCAATTCGAATAAATATAAATACTATACTGTTAAGGCTTAGGGTGTCTCACTTGGGTGGGTGTGATTAATAATAATAATTTAACATTGAATAATAATAATTTATTACCATTTCCCAGCCACCAACAGAGTATTTTTTTTAAAAAACGAGAAAACATAATATACTAAAAACTTCCCTCACCCTTTTAGCAGAATAACCATTATAATTATAATGATAACAATTTAAAAATGAAGGATAATCCTCATTTATTCCCCTTCCCCAGCCGCTCCCCACAGAATATTAAAAACGGGACAAAACATACTGTATTGCAAACTTCACCACGCCTTTTCCAATAATAAAAATAAAATTTTTTAAAAAGTACTGCTAATAATCCTTTATTGTAATAAAACCGCGCCAAAACTGCCTCGGCGTCCCGGGCGTGGGAAACGGCTGAGGAGAAGCAGCTGGGAGGAGAAAAAGCGGGAAAGAGCTGGACCGCCCACAGCCCGGCCTGGGATTGGCCCAAAGGCCGACCTATCGCCGCCGACGGCCCTTCACCAACATGGCGGCGGTGGCGCCTCTTCTGCCCTTTCTGTCCCATTTCTTTCCCGTCCCTTTGCCCTGGTCCAAAATGGCCGTCCTAGGAACCCCCTCGCTCAGCGCACGCGCCTAGCAGTCGCAGCGGCAGTAAACTCGGCGGCGATAGGTCGGCCTTTGGGCCAATCCCAGGTCGTGATTTGGGCGTGGCCATGCCTTGGGCGCGTGTTCTCCTCAGCGTCTCCTTCGCCATTTTCTCGAAGGCAGCGCGTGAGTTTGGTCGAGTTTTTAAGACTCTCTTTTGTTGGGAGCGGGCGGGAAATAAGAATAAAGGATTATCATCATTGCTTTTTAAATTATTATTATTCTTATTCTTATTAGAAAAGGCTAAGGGAAGTTTGTAATATATTACGTTTTGTCGAATTGTTTAATATTCTGTTGGGGAAGGGGAAGAAATGAGGATTATCCTTCATTTTTAAATTATAATCATTATTGTAATGGGTATTCTTATAAAAGGGTGAGGGAAATTTGTCGTTTTATCGTTTTTTAAAATACTCTTGGTGACTGGGAAAGAGTAATACATTATTATTATCATTAATTTTATTATTATTATTGTTATTATTATAAAAGGGTGAGGGAAGTTTGTAGTGTATGATGTTTTGTCGGTTTTAAAAAAATATTCTGTTGGTGGCTGGGAAATAGCAATACATTATTAATATCATTAAATGTTAAATTATTATTATTATTATTAATCACACCCACCCAAGTGGGACACGGCCTCTTCCCCCCTAAGCCTTAGCAGTATACTATTTTTATATATTGGAATTGGGGGGAGAAGCAACTGCAGAGTAACTGGCTGTGATAATGATAATAATTAATTCTTTATATAAAATAAAGTGCAGATCTCCATTGCTTTCCCCCTCAGGCCGCCTTTAATGTCTTGGAAACTGCTTGAAGCAGATCCCAATTCCTCCACTTATTATTAATATTATTATTATTTTTAAATGAACCCTTGTGGTTCCTTCGCAGATTCCTGCCTTGTGGCGGGTTGGACTGGATGACCCTTGGGGTCTCTTCCAGCTAGATGCACCATTATGTGATTCTTGGGGAAGTACTTCAGAAAGAAGAAACAAGAATAAACAAGAAAAAATAAAGAAGAAAAACACATTTCTTCCAGTTAGTCCGTATGATGGCTCCTAAGGAAGGGAGGCTCCTTTCCCACTTGATTCTTTCTTCCATTGGAATCTGGGCTGGACATATTCGATGTCTGCTTGGACGGGGACCCCTCTTTCCCTTCTTGTGAAAATAATTGACATTATTGATATTTCTTAGGTCTATATGCTGAATTCCTGTTCTGAAAAGGAGGAGGAGGAGGAAACTTCGCGTGATGAAGGGAGAAGAGAAGATGTCGGAAAAGTCATGAAGGTAAAAGGGAAAAAATAGAAAGACATATTAACATATAACATATAAGAACATTTAAAAAAAACCCACTCCTGATATATTACACCCACCCAAGTGGGGCTTGGCCTCATCCCCCGTAACCACCACAGTACAGTAAAAATATAGTAAAATAATTTTATTTATTTGATTGGGGTAGGCTAGTGCCTCCTGGCTTCTCCTATGCTGGTGAGGTATGTCTCCTTTTTCCTGTTCTTGTTAGGCTATCAAAAGGTGACAAAGCAATGGGTTGGAAACTTAATTTCTTCAGATGAACCATTGCTTAAACAGGTAATTACTCGAGGCACCGATTTTTCATCTATCGATTTATCCCCATAATCCAACCAGAGATCCAAAAGTGGTACACTTGCACGTTAAATCTTAAGATAAATGTTTTGGAAGAGGCATAAATAAAAAAAGAGAATTAATTTGCAAGCAAGCCCAGTGAATTAGAGAGGCAGAGCTGGCTGGTTTGTCTAATGGAGCATCCAAAACCCAGTTTGGGTCTAGAAGACCCAGTTTTCCCTCTTGCCCCAGCCTTAATGGCAACCCTTCATTGCTTTCTGTTTGATTTTTTGAGCAGATACTCTGAATTGAACAGCAGCAGAAGAAATGGGGATCAGCCCCTGCTGTAGTGGCCAGCACTAAAAGCCGTAAAAGTCAATAAAGTAGGAATATTTAATATTTACAAACTTCACCCCAGTTTGGGACACTTGCATCAGCTTGCAATGTTAAGAGAGGTGCTCTAAAGAAAAGCACTTTCTACATTTATGAGTCTTCAAAGTAGGCTCATGGTTTTTCCTTTGCCTGGAGGTTAGCATATCTGCAATCAGCCCGAGAACTTCAGGCAGGACAAAAGGGGATGGCAAGGGGGGCTTCCTGGCGGGCTTCCTGAACTTGCAGCTGCAGAAGGGTGGATTCCTGCCTTGTAGCAGGTTGGACTGGATGACCCTTGGGGTCCCTTCCCGATATATACTCACCCACCATCATATGATTCTTTGGAAAGTGCTTCAGAATACAGTTTGGGGGTGGTTGTGTGTGTCATCCCTTAAAAATCAACTGTGCAATGTGCTCCACAGCAGGGGCAAAGCAAAGATTTAAGACTGTCTCCCGCTATGCATATAGGCTGGGAGCCCCAATGGCACGAGAGTAAGTGGGCTGAGCCCCTGCAAGAGGGGCCAAAACCAAAAGCCAGTTGAATCATTTACATTGACAAAAACTGGCATGGATGTATGCGTTTTGGAAATTTGCAGCAGTTTGTAATGTTAAGAGAGGTGTTTTAAAGAAAAACACTTTATACACTCATGAGCATTCCCTTAGAGCAGGCTCATGGTTGTTTCCTTTTCTGGAGGCATAAATGTTCTTAGCAGATGTACAATCCCCCCGAAGGCTTCAGGCCTCCTCCTGACTGTTGAAAAGCTCCTGGGGAGACTGTAAGCAGCACCTCCTCCGCTCCCAGTCAGGAAAAGGGGGTGGCAAGATATGCTTCATGGCGCAACTTGCAGCTGCAGTTTAAAGTGCCTTAAAAGTGCCATTTGATAGGGCAACACTGACAGCACAACCAATGTTGGTGGTTTTTCTTCTGCATATTCCTGCCTTGCCGTGGGCTGGGCTGGATGACCTTTGGGGTCCCTTCCAGATATAGATATATATGCAGCATCATAGGATGTGAGCGCTTAGTATGAGCACCAAGGTTGCAGGGGGATCTCCATAAGGGACGCCTGCATATTCCTAAGAGCTGCAAAGTGCCACAGAAAGCAGAACCAGTAAAACATACCTCCCGGTTAGTTGTATGATGGCCAACCACTTTCCCTTCCCAGCCTGCTACTTTATTCTGTCTTGCATAGCAATACAAACGATGCGTGCCTGTTATATACTCCTCAGTTCATCTGAAAGAAATCAGGCCCGCAGGTTTGCTGTGTTCCTTAATGTCAGATTTTGTGGATCTATTATCACCCATATGTTTCGTGCATAAGCCTACTTAGGCATGGAAAACGAAAGGGTGGGGGAAAACGAGGGTTTCTGAAATGAGTGGGCTTCCCTGCACACACTTCAGGGCAGAAGGGGGAGATCGAGGGAACGCTCTACCTTCTCCCCCCTAATCTGTCTTCCCTACCTAATCATGGCGGACAAAGTCCCACCTTCAGTGCCTGCCCGGAAGAGGAGCAGCACCCATACAGAGAACGGTAGGAGCCAAATTGTCCAGGGATCTTCTGGGTATGGAGGGGTGAGGGTTTTCTTCACCAACACCAGTGTGCAGTGCATACACAAGTGTAGAAACGAGTCAGAATAAACAGGCTTGCAAAAAAGTATAGTCTTTCTACCCTAAATTCCCAAATTCCCCTAACCCTGGGGTCAGGAAGGCAGTTTTGTTTTGGGAGTGCCCTGCAATGCACACTTGCCTATGCTCTGAGGCTGCAGGTGCAGAAAAATCTCTCTATGAGATGTTTTCCCTAATGAAAATGGTTCCTCTAGACAGGTGCACAACAACCTGGACAATTTGGGGTTGGAGTAAAGAAGGCCACGGAAAGTAGTTTTTAACTAGGGGTCAAAGGTCAGAAAGAAGGGACGCAGGTGGCGCTGTGGGTTAAACCACAGAGCCTAGGACCTGCCGATCAGAAGGTTGGCAGTTCGAATCCGTGCGATGGGGTGAGCTCCCGTTGCTGGGTCTCTGCTCCTGCCAACCTAGCAGTTTGAAAGCACGTTAAAGTGCAAGGAGATAAATAGGTACCGCTCAGGCAGGAAGGTAAACGGCGTTTCCGTGCTCTGCTCTGGTTTGCCAGAAGCGGCTTAGTCATGTTGGCCCCATGACCCGGAAGCTGTGTGCCGGCCAATAAAGTGAGATGTGCACCGCAACCCCAGAGTCGGCCACGACTGGACCTAATGGTCAGGGGTCCCTTTACCTTTGACAAAGGTCAGAAGTTGTAGGTCTGCTGTTGTAAGTCTAGTGCTTGGGGTTTGGGTCATTGTTAGGGTTGGGGTTAGGCTTAGCGGTCAGGGCCTCCCCCTGACTGCTGAAATGCTCCCAGGGAGGATGTAAGCAGCAGTTCCTCTGTTTCCAGTCCAGAATAGTGATGGCCTTGTTGGCTTCAGCTGCAGGAGAGGTGTGCCATTTAAGAGGGCAACATTTGCTGCACAATCAAGTTTGCAGGATTGTTCCCCATAAGGGACTCCTGCATGTTCCTGCAATGCAGCAAGTTGGACTTGATGACCCTTGGGGTCCCTTCCAGAGGTTTATATTCTATCATTGTTCTTTGGAAAGGGCTTCAGAAAGAAGAAAGAGAAATAGCGTTCCTTAAAGTTAGTTGTATGATGGGAAAGAAGCCTTGCTTCCTGTGAGCTCCTTTGTTATTCCTTGTACGTTAATTGGAGCTTGGCAGATCCTGTGCCTATTTTTACACGGACCCCTCTTTCAGTGATTCTGGAAAAAATCTGCCCCCCTTTTATTTCTCAGGTCTCTATGGGGCGTGCTGAATTCCTGATCCCAAAAAAGGGAAGGAGAAGGGGAAGCTTCGCCTGACGGAGGGAGGGAGAAGAGGGAATCTTTTGAGACAAGATGCCAGTGCCCCAAAGGTGCCAGTGCCAGGGCCCTCCTGCTGCCGTCTTGTGGGGCGAGAGCAGGAAAGGGGATCTTTGGGCACAAGATCCAAACAGCTCCTTTAACCAAACACCTGATTCGCCCAGCAGCGTGGCAGCGAAAGGAAAGAGAAGAAAAAGAGGCAAGGCAGCTGCCAGACATCTCTGTGGAGTTGCAAAAGGCAGCTACATCTGCCTAAGTGCACTTCCATCCACTGGAAAAGCTTCTTAGCAAGGAGCAAAGGGAACGCTGGGCAATATCTAGCTATCTCTCTAAATCGGTAAGACCACACAGTCCCTACACCTCCACAAGGCCTGGTCCTTTCCAGAGGTGCAGCCTGCATTCTCCAAAGGTGGATTTCAGCTGAAACAGCTGGGTGAAAAGTCTCTCTTCCCCTCCTCACACCCGTAACCCTGGCAACCTCCCAGAAACAGTCTCTATTCCTCGATGGTCAGGGAGATTGTATTTTCTCACGGTCGCTCTAAAAATTGAAACGCTAGTATTTAGTAATGTCTTAATACAGATTGGGGGTGTTTGTGTGTGTCAGTCCTTAAAATTCAACTGTGCAAAGATTTAAGCCTCTCCCCCGCTGTGCACCTAGGCTGGGAGCTCCAATGGCACAAGACTAAGTGGGCTGAGCCCCTGCAACAGGGGCCAAAACCAAAAGCCAGTTGAATCATTTACATTTACAAATACTGGCACGTATTTGTATGCGTCTTGTAAATTTGCAGCAGTTTGTAACGTTAAGAGGTGTGTTTTAAAGAACAGCACTTATATACTCATGAGCATTCCCTTAGAGCAGGCTCATGGTTTTTTCCCTTTTCTGGAGGCATAAATGTTCTTAGCAGATGTACAATCCCCCCCCCCAAAGGCTTCAGGTCTCCTCCTGACTGTTGAAATGCTCCTGGGGAGACTGTAAGCAGCACCTCCTCCGCTCCCAGTCAGCAAAAGGGGATGGCAAGGGGTGCTTCATGGCGCAACTTGCAGCTGCAGTTTAAATTGCCTTAAAAGTGCCATTTCATAGGGCAACACTGACAGCACAACCAAGGTTGGTGGTTTCAGAAAGAAGAAACAGAAATAGCATTCCTTTAAGTTACGGACGCTGTGGGTTAAACCGCAGAGCCTAGGACTTGCCGATCAGAAGGTCAGCGGTTCGAATCCCCGCAATGGGGTGAGCTCCCTTTGCTGGGTCCCTGCTCTTGCCAACCTAGCAGTTCGAAAGCACGTCAAAGTGCAAGTAGACAAATGCTCTGGCAGGAAGGTTAACTGCGTTTCCATGCGCTGTTCTGGTCCGCCAGAAGCGGCTTAGTCATGCTGGCCCCATGACCCGGAAGCTGTACACCGGCTCCCTTGGCCAGTAAAGCGAGATGAGCGACGCAACCCCAGAGTCGGCCACAACAGGACCTAATGGTCAGGGGTCCTTTTACCTTTATGCTGGCAAAGTTGCCTCACTAGGCTGTGACACCTAACAGTTAAATGCTACTACCTTTTGGTACTGTGAACACCAAGGTTGCAGGGAGATCTCTATAAGGGACGCCTGCACATTCCTAAGAGCTGCAAAGTGCCACACAAAGAATAAGCAGTAAAACATACCTCTAGGTTAGTTGTATGATGGCCAACCACTTTCCCTTCCCTGCTGGCTACTTTATTCTGTCTTGCATAGCAATACAAATGATGGGTGCCTGTTTTATACTCCTACTCGTTCAGTTCATCTGAAAGAAATCAGGTCCACTGATAGTTTTGTGGATTTTTATAATCCTTATGTATCAGGCACAAGTCTACTTATGCATGGTAAAGAAAAAGGTGGGGAAAAACGAGGGTATCTGAAGTGAGTGGGCTTCCCTGTACACACTTCAGGGCAGAAGGGGGAGATAGAGGGAACGCTTTGTGTTCTCCCCCCAATCTGTCTCCCCCCCCAATCATGGTGGAAAAGGTCTTCATCCTACCTTCAGCGCCTGCCCGCAAGAGGAGCAGCACCCATACAGAGAATGGTAGGAGACAAATTGTCTTGGGATCCTCTGGGTTAGAGAGGGTGAGCGTGGGATGGGACCCCTGTCTCCTAAAACAGTGCGCTTTCACCAGGATCAGTCTGTGGTTTCCTTCACCAACGCCAATGTCAGAATAAACAGGCTTCCCCAAAAGTATAGTCTTTATACCCTAATTTCCCTAATTCCCCTAACCCCAGGGTCAGGAAGACAGTTTTGTTTTGGGGCTGCCCTGCAATGCACACCTGAGGCCGCAGGTGCAGAGAAATCTCTTTACGAGATGTTTGTTACTTCTAGACAGGTGCACAACAACCTGGATAATTTGGGGTTGGAGTAAAGAAGGCCACGGAAAGTCTAGTTTTTAACTAGGGGTCAAAGGTCAGAAAGAAGGGACGCGGGTGGCGCTGTGGGTTAAACCACAGAGCCTAGGACTTGCCGATCAGAAGGTCGGCGGTTCGAATCCGCACGATGGGGTGAGCTCCCATTGCTCGGTCCCTGCTCCTACCAACCTAGCAGTTCAAAAGCACGTTAAAGTGCAAGGAGATAAATAGGTACCGCTCCGGCAGGAAGGTCAACGGTGTTTCTGTGCGCTGCTCTGGTTCACCAGAAGTGCCTTAGTCCTTCTGGCCACATGACCCGGAAGCTGTACACCGGCTCCCATGGCCAGTAAAGCAAGATGCGCGCCGCAACCCCAGAGTTGTCTGCGACTGGACCTAATGGTCAGGGGTCCCTTTACCTAAGGAAAAGTGGGACATTCTGGGATGAAATCAGAAACTGGGATGGCTTCCTATCATCAGAGTTGGAGTCCAAAAACATCAGATGGACTGCAAGTTCCTCACCCCTGATGTAGAACTCAGGGATGGGAAGAGAAGGGGTGAACTAGTTAGCTCTGCCTCCATTGCTGATGATCACCCTCCATTTCCTTACAAGGAGATACTGGGGCAACACCCTAACCCTTGGTTTACCTGCTTGCATGCTCACACATATAACTCTCGTTTGGAGAAGCTTGGGGTTAGGCTTAGGGGTCAGGGCCTCCCCCTGACTGTTGAAATGCTCCCAGGAAGAATAAGCAGCACTTCCTCTGTTTCCAGTCAAGAATAGTGATGGTCATGTTGGCTTCCTGGGTGAACTTGCAGCTCCGGAAGAGGTGTGGATCCCTGAAGTAGCCTTCAATGTGCCATTTAAGAGTGCAACATTCGCTGCACAACCAAGGTTGCGGGATTGTTTCCCGTAAGGGACTGCTGCAATGCAACGGGTTGGACTGGATGACCCTTGGGGTCCCTTCCAGAGGTTTATATTCCATCATTATTCTTTGGAAAGAGCTTCAGAAAGAAGAAAGAGAAATAGCGTTCCTTAAAGTTAGTTGCAGCCTAACACAGGAAAGTCGCCTCGCTTTCTGTGAGCTCCCTTATTATTCCTTCACTTTAGTTTGAGCTTGGCGGATCCTCTGCCTGTTTTTACATGGACCCCTCTTTCGGTTCTAGAAAAAATCTGCCCCCCCCCCCCCGTTATTTCTCAGGTCTCTGAGCTGTGCTGAATTCCTTCTCCCAAAAAGTGGAAGGAGAAGGAAGGGGGACGTTTTGCTTGACAGAGGGAGGGAGAAGAGTGGCGAGAGGGGGAAAGGGGATCTTTTGAGACGAGATCCAAACGGCTCCTTTAACCAAACACCTGATTCGCCCAGCAGCGTGGCAGCGAAAGGAAAGAGAAGAAAAAGAGGCAAGGCTGCAGTGGAAAAAGATGGGTTGCCTGCATGGGCTCTGCTTTATTCCTTTATGTCGAATGCTACATCTGCCTAAGTCCACTTCCATCCACCGGAAAAGATTCTTAGCAGCAAGGAGTAAAGGGAACAGTGGGCAATACCTAGCTATCTCTCTAAATCGGTAAGACCACACAGTCCCTACACCTCCACAAGGCCTGGTCCTTTCCAGAGGTGCAGCCTGCCTTCTCGAAAGGTGGATTTCAGCTCAAACAGCTGAGTGAAGTGTCTCTCTTCCTCTCCTCACACCAGTAACCCTGGCAACCTCCCAGAGATCAGTCTCTATTCCTCGATGGTCAGGGAGATGGCACTTTCCCACGGTCTCTCCAAAAATGGAAACCTTAGCATTTAGTAATGTCTTAATACAGTTTTGGGGTGTGTGTTTGTGTGTGTCAGTCCTTAAAAATCAACTGCAAACATTTAAGACTGTCCCCTGCCATGCACCTAGGCTGGGAGCCCCAATGGCACAAGACTAAGTGGGCTGAGCCCTGCAACAGGGGCCAAAGCCAAAAGCCAATTGAATCATTTACATTGACAAATACTGGCACGTATTTGTATGCGTCTTGTAAATTTGCAGCAGTTTGTAACGTTAAGAGGTGTGTTTTAAAGAGCAGCACTTATACACTCATGAGCATTCCCTTAGAGCAGGACCATTGTTTTTTCCTTTTCTGGAGGCATAAATGTTCTTAGCAGATGTACAATCCCCCCGAAGGCTTCAGGCCTCCTCCTGACTGTTGAAATGCTCCTGGGGAGACTGTAAGCAGCACCTCCTCCGCTCCCAGTCAGCAAAAGGGGATGGCAAGGGGTGCTTCATGGCGCAACTTGAAGCTGCAGTTTAAATTGCCTTGAAAGTGCCATTTAATCCGGCAACACTGACAGCACAACCAAGGTTAGTGGTTATTCTCCTGCATATTCCTGCCTTGCAGTGGGTTGGGCTGGATGACCGATGAGGTCCCTTCCAGATATAGATATAAATGCAGCATCATATGATTCTTTGGAATGTGCTTTAGAAAGATGAAACAGAAATAGCATTCCTTTAAGTTATGAGATGCAGGTGTCGCTGTGGGTTAAACCACCGAGCCTAGGACTTGGCAATCAGAAGGTTGGCGGTTCGAATCCCCGCGACGGAGTGAGCTCCCTTTGCAGGGTCCTTGCTGCTGCCAACCTAGCAGTTCGAAGTACAAGTAGATAAATGGGTACCGCTCCGGCGGGATGGTAAACGGCATTTCCGTGCGCTGTTCTGGTTCGCCAGAAGCGGCTTAGTCATGCTGTACGCCGGCTCTGTCGGGCAGTAAAGCGAGATGAGCGCTGCAACCCCAGAGTCGTCCGTGACTGGACCTAATGGTCAGGGGTCCCTTTACCTTAATGCTCCCAGGGAGGATGTAAGCAGCACTTCCTCTGTTTCCAGTCAAGAATAGTGGATGGCCATGTTTGCTTCCTGGCTGAACTTGCAGCTGCAGGAGAGGTGGGGATCCCTGAAGTAGCCTTCAAAGTGCCGTTTAAGAGAGGAACATTAGCTGCACAACCAAGATGTTAGGATTTTCCCCCATAAGGGACTCCTGCATGTTCCTGCGATGCAGCGGGTTGGACTGGATGACCCTTGTGGTCCTTTCCAGAGGTTTACATACCATGGTTATTCTTTGGAAAGGGCTTCAGAAAGATGAAAGAGAAATAGTGTTCCTCAAAGTTAGTTGTATGATGGGAAAGTAGCCTCACTTCCTGTGAGCTCCCTTATTATTCCTTGCACGTTAATTGGAGCTTGCAGATCCTGTGCCTGTTTTTACACGGACCCCTATTCAGTCGCCCCCCCCCCCCCCCGTTATTTCTTAGGTCTCTATGGGGCGTGCTGAATTCTTGCTCAGAAGAAGGGGGAGGAGAAGGAAGGGGGAAGTTTTGCCTGATGGAGGGAGAAGAGGTGCCCTCCTGCTGCTGCCATGTGGGGTGAGAGGCGGAAAGGGGATCTTTTGAGACAAGTCCCAAACAGCTCCTTTAACCAAACACCTGATTCGCCCAGCAGCGTGGCAGTGAAAGGAAAGAGAAGAAAAAGAGACAAGGCTGCAGTGGAAAAAGATGGGTTGCCTGCATGGGCTCTGCTTTATTCCTTTATGTCGAATGCTACATCTGCCTAAGTCCACTTCCATCCACTGGAAAAGCTTCTTAGCAGCAAGAAGTAATGGGAAAGGTGGGCAATACCTAGCTATCTCTCTAAATCGGTAAGACCGCACAGTCCCTACACCTCCACACGGCCTGGTCCTTTCCAGAGGTGCAGCCTGCCTTCTCCAAAGGGATTTCAGCTCAAACAGCTGGGTGAAAAGTCTTTCTTCCTCTCCTCACACCCGTAACCCTGGCAACCTCCCAGAGAACAGTCTCTATTCCTCGATGGTCAGGGAGATGGCACTTTCCCACGGTCTCTCCAAAAATGGAAACCTTAGCATTTAGTAATGTCTTAATATAGTTTTGGGGTGTGTGTTTGTGTGTCAGTCCTTAAAAATCAACTGCAAAGATTTAAGCCTCTCCCCCGCCATGCACCTAGGCTGGGAGCCCCAATGGCAGGAGACTAAGTGGGCTGAGCCCCTGCAACGGGGGCCAAAACCAAGGGCCAGTTGAATCATTTACGTTGACAAACACTGGCACGGATGTATGCGTTTTGGAAATTTGCAGCAGTTTGTAATGTTAAGAGAGGTGTTTTAAAGAGCAGCACTTATACACTCATGAGCATTCCCTTAGAGCAGGACCATTGTTTTTTCCTTTTCTGGAGGCATAAATGTTCTCAGCAGATGTTCAATCCCCCCCGAAGGCTTCAGGCCTCCTCCTGACTGTTGAAAAGCTCCTGGGGAGACTGTAAGCAGCACCTCCTCCGCTCCCAGTCAGCAAAAGGGGATGGCAAGGGGTGCTTCATGGCGCAACTTGCAGCTGCAGTTTAAATTGCCATAAAAGTGCCATTTCATAGGGCAACCATGACAGCACAACCAAGGTTAGTGGTTATTCTGCATATTCCTGCCTTGCAGTGGGTTGGGCTGGATGACCCTTGGGGTCCCTTCCAGTTAGATATATACACTATCATATGATTCTTTGGAATGTGCTTCAGAAATAACCAGAAATAGCCTTCCTTTAAGTTAGTTGTATGATGGCAAAGGCGCCTCATTTTTGGCTGTGACACCTAACAGTTAAATGCTAACAGCTTTTGGTACTGTGAACACCAAGGTTGCAGGGGAATCTCCATAAGGGACGCCTGCATATTCCCAAGAGTTGTAAAGTGCCACACAAAGAAGAGACAGAGAAACATACCTCCAGGTTAGTTGTATGATGGCCAACTACTTAGTCATGTTTTGCCACATGACCTGGAAGCTGTACACCGGCCAATAAAGCGAGATGTGTGGTGCAACCCCAGAGTCGGCCATGACTGGACCTAATGGTCAGGGGTCCCTTTACCTTTACCTTTGACAAAGGTCAGAAGTTGTAATTCTGCTGTTTTATGTCTAGGGGTTTGGGTTTGGGTTGTTAGGGTCGGGGTTAGGGAGAGGCTTGGAGTTAGGCTTAGGGGTCCGGGTCACCCCCTGACTGTTGAAATGCTCCCAGGGAGGATGTAAGTAGAACTTCCTCTGTTTCCAGTCAAGAATAGTGGATGGCTATGTTTGCTTCCTAAGTAGCCTTCAAAGGTTGCAGGATTGTTCCCCGTAAGGGACTTCTGCATGTTCCTGCGATGCAGCGGGTTGGACTGGATGACCCTTGGGGTCCCTTCCAGAGGTTTATATACCATCATTCTTTACAGTTAGTTGTATGATGGGATAGTCACTTCACTTCCTGTAAGCAGCTTTATTATTCCTTGCACATTAATTTGAGCTTGGCAGATCCTATGCCTGTTTTGACATGGACCCCTCTTTCAGTTCTTGAAATAAACGACCACCCCTGATATTTCTCAGGTCTCAAAGGGCTGTGCTGAATTCCTTCTCCCAAAAAGGGGGAGGACAAGGAAGGGGGAAGTTTCGCCGGACAGAGGGAGGGAGAAGAGGGGATCTTTTCAGACCAGATGCCAGTGCCCCCAAAATGCCAGGGGCCTCCTGCTGCCGTCTTGTGGAGTGAGAGCAGGAAAGGGGATCTTTGGGCACAAGATCCAAACAGCTCCTTCAACCAAACACTTGATTCACCAGCAGCGTGGCAGCGAAAGGAAAAAAGAAAAAGAGGCAAGGCAGCTGCCAGACATCTCCATGAAGTTACAAAAGGCAGCTACATCTGCCTAAGTGCACTTCCATCCACTGGAAAAGCTTCTTAGCAGCAAGAAGTAAATGGGTAAGAACGCACAGTCCCTACACCTCCACACGGCCTGGTCCTTTCCAGAGGTGCACCTGCCTTCTCGAAAGGTGGATTTCAGCTCAAACAGCTGGGTGGAGTGTCTCTCTTCCTCTCCTCACACTCGTAACACTGGTAGCCTCCCAGAGAACAGTCTCTTCCTCGGTGGTCAGGGAGATTGCACTTTCCCATGGTCTCTCCAAAAATGGAAACCCTAGCATTTAGTAATGTCTTAATACAGTTTGGTAGTGTTTGTGTCAGTCCTTAAAATTCAACTGTGCAAAGATTTAAGACTGTCCCCCACCATGCACCTAGGCTGAGAGCCCCAATGGCAGGAGACTAAGTGGGCTGAGCCCCTGCAACAGGGGCCAAAACCAAAAGCCAGTTGAATCATTTACATTGAGAAATACTGGCACGGATGTATGCGTTTTGGAAATTTGCAGCAGTTTGTAATGTTGAGAGGTGTTTTAAACAAAATACACTTTATACACTCATGAGCATTCCCTTAGAGCAGGCTCATGGTTGTTTTCTTTTCTGGAGGTATAAATGTTCTTAGCAGATGTTCGATCCCCCCGAAGGCTTCAGGCCTCCTCCTGACTGTTGAAAAGCTCCTGGGGAGACTGTAAGCAGCACCTCCTCCGCTCCCAGTCAGCAAAAGGGGATGGCAAGGGGTGCTTCATGGCGCACCTTGCAGCTGCAGTTTAAATTGCCTTAAAAGTGCCATTTGATAGGGCAACACTGATGGCACAACCAAGTTTGCTGGTTCTCCTGCATATTCCTGCCTTGCCCTGGGCTGGGCTGGATGACCCTCGTGGTCCCTTCCAGATGTAGATATGTATGTAGGATCATATGATTCTTTGGAATATGCTTGAGAAAGAAGAAACAGAACTTTGTGAAGAAAACGATGCAGTACAAACGATGGGTGCCTCTTATACGCCTACTCTTTTAGTTCATCTTAAAGAAATTGGGCCTACTGATAATTCTCTGTTCTTCGTTCCTCAATGTTAGATCTTGTGTAGTTATTATCACCCTTATGTTTTTGGCACAAGCCTACTTATGCATGGTGGGGGAACAAAAGGATGGGGGAACAAAAGGGTTTCTGAAATGGGTGGGCTTCCCTATTCACACTTAAGGGAAGAAGGGGGAGATGGAGAGAAGGTGGTCTTCATCCCACCTTCAGCACCTGCTTGGAAGAGGAGCAGCATCCATACAGAGAACGGTAGGAGCCAAATTGTCTTGGGATCTTCTGGGTTTGAGGGGGTGAGCGTTGGGATGGGACCCCTGTCTCCTGCACTTGCACCAGGATCAGTCTGTGGTTTCCTTCACCAACATCAGTGTCAGAATAAACAGGCTTCCCAAAAAATTATAGTCTTTATCCCCTAACCCTAATTCCCCTAAGCCCTGGGTCAGGAAGACAGCTTTGTTTTGGGATGCTCTGCAAGGTATACCAGAGGCCGCAGCTGGGGGAAAAATCTCTTTATGAGAAGTTTTCTGCAATGAAAAATGTACTTCTAGCCAGATGCAAAACTAGCTTGGACAATTTGTGGTTGGACTAACGAGGTCCATGGAAAATCTAGTTTTTAAGTAGGGGTCAATGGTCAGAAAGAAGCGACGACGGTGGCGCTGTGGGTTAAAGTACAGATCCTAGGACTTGCAGATCAGAAGGTTGGTGGTCCGAATCCCCGCCATGGGGTGAGCTCCTGCTGATGGATCCCTGCTCTTGCCAGCCTAGCAGTTTGAAAGCGTTTATGTGCGCTGCCCTGGTTCGCCAGAAGTGGCTTAGTCATGCTGGCCACATGAGCAGGAAGCTGTATGCTGGCTCCTGCCAACAAAGAGAGATGCGCGCTGCAACCCCAGAGTCGGCTACGACTGGAACTAACGGTCAGGGGTCCCTTTACCTTTTACAAAGGTCAGAAGTAAGTCTGCTGTTGTAAGTGTAGCTGTTGGGGTTTGGGTCATTGTTAGGGTTGGGGTCAGGTTTAGGGGTCAGGGTCAGGGCCTCTCCTTGAGTGTTTAAATGTTCCCAGGCAGGATGCAAGCAGCACCTCTGTTTCCAGTCCAGAATAGTGTATGGCCATGTTTGCTTCTTGGCTGGACTTGCAGCTGCAGGAGAGGTGTGGATCCCTGAACTATACCTAAGCAGCCTTCAAGTGCTCTTTAAGAGGGCAACATTTGCTGCACAACCAGGTTGCAGGATTGTTCCCTGTAAGCTACTCTTGCATGTTCCTGTGCTGCAGCGGGTTGGACTGGATGACCCTTGGGGTCCCTTCCAGAGGTTTATTTACCATCATTATTCTTTGGAAAGGGCTTCAAAAAGAAGAAAGAGAAATAGCATTTAATGTTCTTAGCAGATGTACAATCCCCCACAAAGGCTTCAGGCCTCCTACTGATTGTTGAAAAGCTCCTGGGGAGACTGTAAGCAGACCTCTTCCCTCTCCCAGTCAGCAAAAGGGGACGGCAAGGGGTGCTTCATTGCGCACCTTGCAGCTGCAGTTTAAATTGCCTTAAAAGTGCCATCTGATAGGGCAACACTGACGGCACAACCAAGGTTGGTGGTGGTTCTCCTGCATATTGCTGCCTTGAAGTGGGCTGGGCTGGATGACCGATGAGGTCCCTTCCAGATATAGATATATGCAGCATTATTGGATTCTTTTGGAATGTGCTTCAGAAAGAAGAAACAAGTTTGTGGAGTAAACGATGCAGTACAAACAATGGGTGCCTGTTTTATACATCTACTCTTTCAGTTCACCTGAAAGAAATCAGGTCTGCAGGTTTGCTGTCCTACTTAATGTCAGATTTTGTGGATTTATTATAACCCTTATGTTTTGGGCACAAGCCTACTTATGCATGGAAAACCAATGAGTGGGGGAAAACAAGGATTACTGAGATGAGTGGGCTTCCCTGCACACACTTCAGGGCAGAAGGGGGAGATGGAGAGAACACTCTGCCTTCTCCCCCCTAATCTGTCTTCCCTACCTAATCATGACAGACAAGCTCCCACCTTCAGCGCCTGCCCGGAGGAGGAGCAGAACCCATACAGAGAACAGTTGGAGCCAATTTTTCCTGGGATGCTCTAGGTTTCAGGGGGTGAGTGTTGGGATGGGGCCCCTGTCTCCTAAAGCAATGCGTTTGTACTAGGATCAGTCTGTGGTTTCCTTCACCAACAGTGTCAGAATAAACAAGCTTCCTAAAAAGTATAGTCTTTCCCCTAACCCTAATTTCCCTAAGCCCCGGGTCAGGAAGACCGTTTTGTTTTGGGATTCCCTGCAATGCACACCTGCCCATGTTCTAAGGCTGCAGCTGGGGGAAAATCTCTTTATGAGATGTTTTCCCTAATGAAAATGATATTTCTAGGCAGGTGCACAAATAAGCTGGACAATTTGGTATTGGAATAACTAGGTCAATGGAAAGTAGTTTTTAATTTGGGGTCAAAGGTCAGAATATAAGTACGCGGGTGGCGCTGTGAGATAAACCACAGAGCGGATCAGCCGATTAGAGGATTTGCCGATCAGAAGGTTGGTGGTTCCAATCCCCGCAACGGTGAGCTCCCATTGTTCTGTCCTTACTCCTGCCCAGCTAGCATTTTGACAGCGCTTCTGGTTCGCCAGACGCCTCTTACATGACTTGGAAGCTGTACGCCGGGTTCCTTGGCCAATAAAGTGAGATTTGCACCGCAACCCCAAAGTTGGTCACGACTGGACCTAATGGTCAGGGGCCCTTTTACCTTTACCTTTACTTTTCACAAATGTCAGAAGTTGTAAGTCTGCTGTTGTAAGTGTAGGCTTGGGGTTTGGGTCATTGTTAGGGTTCGGGTTAGGCTTAGCGGTCAGGGTCAGGGTCTCCCCCTGACAGTTGAAATCTCCCAGGGAGGATGTAAGCAGCACTTCTTCTGTTTCCAGTCAAGAATAGTGGATGGCCATGTTGGCTTCATGGCTGACCTTGCTGCTCCGGGAGAGGTTTGCCATTTAAGAGGGCAACGTTTGCTGTGCAATCAAAGTTGTAGGATTGTTCCCCGTAAGGGACACCTGCATGTTCCTGCGATGCAGCGGGTTGGACTGGATGACCCCTGGGGTCCCTTCCAGATATATATATTTATGTAACGTCTTATTCTTTGGAATGTGCCTCAGAAAGAAGAAACGGGGAAACATAACTTCCAGTTAGCTGTATGATGGCCAAGTACTTCCCCTTCCCTGGTAGCTACTTTATTGTGCCTGTTTTGTACTCCTATTCTTTCAGTTTATCTGAAAGAAATCAGGCCCACTGATATTTCTCTGTATGGGCTGTGCATTGTTCATTTGTGTCATCGTGCACAAGCCTACTTAGGCATGGAAAGGGTGGGTGAAAACGAGGGTTTCTGAAGTGAGTGGTCTTCCCTGCGTACACTTTCAGGCAGAAGGGGGAGATGGAGGGAATGCTCTGCCTCCCCCCCACCCACCCAATCAGGGCGGACAAGGTCTTCATCCCACCTTCAGCGCCTGTCTGGAAGAGGAGCAGCACCCATACTGAGAACGGTAGGAGCAAAATTGTCTTGGGATCTTCTGGGTTTGAGAGGGTGAGCGTTTGGACAGGACCCCTGTCTCCTAAAGCAGTGCGCTTTCGCCAGGATTGGTCTGCGGTTTTCTTCAACACCAGTGTGCAGCTGCATGCACAATTGTAGAAACAAGTCAGAAGAAACAGGCTTCCAAAAAAGTATAGTCTTTATACCCTAACCCTAACCCTTTGGGTCAGGAAGGCAGTTTTGTTTTGGGAGTGCCCTGCGATGCACACCTGAGTCTGCAGGTGCAGAAAAATCTCTTTATGATATGTTTTCCCTAATGAAAATGCTACTTCTAGCAAGATGCACAACAACCTGAATAATTTAGCGTAGGAGTAATAAATGGCATGCAAAGTCTAGTTTTTAACTAGGGGTCAAAGGTCAGAAAGAAGGGACGCAGGTGGCAGTGTGGGTTAAACTGGTGCTCTGGTTCGCCAGAAGCGGGTTAATCATGCTGGCCACATGACCCGGAAGTTGTGCGCCGGCCAGTAAAGCGAGATGAGTGCCACAACCCCAGAGTCGGCCACGACTGGACCTAATGGTCAGGGCTCCCTTTAGCTGTGACAAAGGTCAGAAGTTGTAAGTGTGCTGCTGTAAGTCTATGGGTTAAGATTTAGGTTGTCATTAGGGTTGGGGTTAGGCTTATGGGTCAGGGTCAGGGCCTCCCCTTGACTGTCGAACTGCTCCCATGAAGGATGTAAGCAGCACTTACTTTGTTTCTAGTCAAGAATCATGGATGGCCATGTTGGCTTCATGGCTGAACTTGCAGCTGCAGGAGAGGTGTACTATTTAAGAGGGCAACATTTGCTGCACAACCAAGGTTGCAGGATTGTTCCCCATAAGGGCCTCCTGCATGTTCCTGCGATGTAGCAAGTTGGGCTGGATGACCCTTGGGGTCCATTCTAGAGATTTATACACCATCATTATTCTTTGATAAGGGCTCCAGAAAGAATAAAGAGGAATAGCGTTAAATGTTCTTAGCAGATGTATAATCCCCCCGAAGGCTTCAGGCCTCCTCCTGACTGTTGAAAAGCTCCTGGGGAGACTGTAAGCAGCACCTCCTCCGCTCCCAGTCAGGAAAAGGGGGTGGCAAGATATGCTTCATGGCGCAAACCTGCAGCTGCAGGCTTAAAGTGCCTTAGAGTGCCATTTCATAGGGCAACACAGACGGCACAACCAAGGTTGGTGGTGGTTGTCCTGGGCATATTCCCGCCTGGCCAGGGTTAGGCCAGGGCTAGGCTAGGCTAGGTCTAGGGCCAGGCCTAGGCTAGGCTAGGCCAGGGGCTAGGGCCAGGGCCTAGGCTAGGGCCAGGGCTAGGGCCAGGGCCAGGCCAGGGGCCAGGCCAGGGCCAGGGCCAGGTGCCAGTAGGCCAGGCTGGGGCCAGGGCCAGGGCCAGGGCCAGGCCAGGCCAGGCCAGGGCCAGGCCAGGGCCAGGGCCAGGCCAGGGGCCAGGCCAGGGCCAGGGCCAGGCCAGGCCAGGCCAGGGCCAGGGCCAGGGCTCAGGCCAGGCCAGGGCCAGGCCTAGGCCAGGGCTGAGGGCCAGGGCCAGGGCCAGGCCAGGGCCAGGCCAGGGCCAGGTTGGGCCAGGGCTAGGCCAGGCCAGGCCAGGCCAGGCCAGGGGCTATGGCCAGGCTGGCTAGGCCAGGCCAGGGGCCAGGGTCAGGGCCAGGCCAGGGCCAGGGCCAGGCCAGGGCCAGGCCAGGCCAGGGCCAGGCCAGGCCAGGCCAGGCCAGGGCCAGGCCAGGCCAGGCCAGGCCAGGGCCAGGCCAGGCCTAGGGCCAGGGCCAGGGCCAGGCCGAGGCCAGGCCAGGCCAGGCCAGGGCCAGGCCAGGCCAGGCCAGGCCAGGCCAGGGCCAGGCCAGGCCAGGGCCAGGCCAGGCCTAGGCCAGGCCAGGCCAGGCCAGGCCAGGCCAGGCCAGGCCAGGCCAGGCCAGGCCAGGCCAGGCCAGGGGCCAGGCCAGGCCAGGCCAGGCCAGGGCCAGGCCAGGCCAGGTCGGGCCAGGCCAGGCCAGGCCAGGCCAGGGCCAGGCCAGGCCAGGCCAGGCCAGGCCAGTGGCCAGGCCAGGCCAGGGCCAGGCCTAGGCCAGGCCAGGCCAGGCCAGGCCAGGCCAGGCCAGGCCAGGCCAGGCCAGGGCCAGGCCAGGCCTAGGCCAGGCCAGGCCTGTGGCCAGGCCAGGCCAGGCCAGGCCAGGCCAGGCCAGGGCCAGGCCAGGCCAGGGCCAGGCCAGGCCAGGGGCCAGGCCAGGCCAGGCCAGGCCAGGCCAGGGCCAGGCCAGGCCAGGCCAGGCCAGGCCAGGGCCAGGCCAGGCCAGGCCAGGCCAGGCCAGGGCCAGGCCAGGCCAGGCCAGGCCAGGCCAGGCCAGGCCAGGCCAGGCCAGGCCAGGCCAGGCCAGGCCAGGCCAGGCTCAGGCCAGGCCAGGCCAGGCCAGGCCAGGCCAGGGCCAGGCCAGGCCAGGCCAGGGCCAGGGCCAGGCCAGGCCAGGCCAGGGCCAGGCCAGGGCCAGGCCAGGCCAGGCCAGGCCAGGCCAGGCCAGGCCAGGCCAGGGCCAGGCCAGGCCAGGCCAGGCCAGGCCAGGCCAGGCCAGGGCCAGGCCAGGCCAGGGCCAGGCCAGGCCAGGCCAGGCCAGGCCAGGGCCAGGGGCCAGGCCAGGGCCAGGCCAGGCCAGGCCAGGCCAGGCCAGGCCAGGCCAGGCCAGGCCAGGCCAGGCCAGGGCCAGGCCAGGCCAGGCCAGGCCAGGGGCCAGGCCAGGCCAGGCCAGGCCAGGCCAGGCCAGGCCAGGCCAGGCCAGGGCCAGGCCAGGCCAGGCCAGGCCAGGCCAGGCAGGCAGAGGCCAGGTAGGCCAGGCCAGGCCAGGCCAGGCCAGGCCAGGCCAGGCCAGGCCAGGCCAGGCCAGGCCAGGCCAGGCCAGGGCCAGGCCAGGCCAGGCCAGGCCAGGCCAGGGCCAGGCCAGGCCAGGGCCAGGCCAGGCAGGCCAGGGCCAGGGCCAGGCCAGGCCAGGCCAGGCCAGGCCAGGCCAGGGCCAGGGCCTAGGCCAGGCTCAGGCCAGGGCTAGGCCAGGCCAGGCCAGGGCCAGGCCAGGCCAGGCCAGGCCAGGCCAGGGCCAGGGCCAGGCCAGGGCCAGGCCAGGCCAGGCCAGGCCAGGCCAGGCCAGGCCAGGCCAGGCCAGGGCCAGGCCAGGCCAGG